TTTTTTTCTTTTCTATGATACACACAGCCACACTGATAATATGTAAATGAACATTTTCCTTTTTATATCTCCAGATTATGTTTATTGTCTGAGGTAAATTAAATTCCCACCAGGGTTTGCTGTCAGTATTTTAACACCCACATTAGTATATGGGTCCAGGGTCATAACCCCCTAAAATCCATCATGCAACCTTATTAATCTATCTTGGGATTCCAGTTTAGTGCTTGGATTTATTTCCTGATTACACTACATAGAAAAGTGAGACATCTGCCATCCCAGCTCTGGGAAAACCAACTAATATACAACCATATAAATGAAGGCCATCTTGATGGTCTCAACACTAATTTTTTATGATGCAAATTTATAAACTGATTTTTGTAAAGGACAAACTTTTAAAAGTGTATTTAACTTGATGTTTTCTATCAGCATAAATAAAATGGTCATGAATAGTCATTAAAAACAGTTGCCAGTGATAATCTGCATGAAGGAAAAAGACCCCCGCAAATGGCTGAGTTGGAAGTATTGTTTTTGATATGTAACAGATATTCAGAATGCTCACACTGAAAATGCCTCAACTTTTTAAAGTATAAGAAACCACCATGAGTGGTGTCTAGATTTCTAATGAAGAATGATGATACAGTTTGGATTAAGTATCTTGGACTGGTTTTAAACAGTGCTTTGTACCGGATCTGCCGAAGCATCTGTCCAGCCTGGTATCCTGTGAAAGTTTGTTATTTTCTGAGTAGACATTCTTATAGAGTATTGTCTTTAAAATCAGATTGTCTCTTCTATATTGAAAGCATTTTTATGTTTTCTAATTTAAAAATTAATATTTTCTTATAGATATTGTGCAATAAAGCTGAAGTAGAATGTGTGGTTTTTGCAAATGCTTTAACAGCTGATAAAATTTTACATTTGTAAAATTAATATATTGTACTGGTACAAAATAGTTTTAAATTATATTTTAAAAAGCTTCCAATCTTGTGGTGTGTTTTATTCATTCAGTAGGCTGAGGTTAACAGAACAAATTATGATCTGGTTGATGACCATCAGTTGAATCCTTAAACCTTCTATCTTAAGCATTCTGTTGCATTTGGGGGAGGTTTCATAAAAATCCATATCTCATCAGTAAGAGGTTTTCAGGAGAGACGCTTACTCTGTCTTTTGAGTTTTCCACTGCATCTTACCCACTTACCCACTAAACAATAACAAAAACGATCCATTGAAAGAAGAGTGTTGTCGGTTTAGAAATTAAAAGAATTTTGTTTTTATACTTTGCATCTGTGAAATATATGAATGAGACAGAAATACAGCCGATTTTTAAACGTCTCCCATATGAGCTTTTAATGTTTTTCAAAATGATGTCTGTAGGAAAGAATACTATATCCTTTTGGGGTTTGAGAGGACCCAACCAAGAGAACCCCTCTTCTCTACTGAAATCTAGACCAACTGAGAAGTTAAAAAAAAAAAAAAAAAAAGGCATATGATAGCCAAAATACTACCTTTAATACTAGTAAAATGGATATTGGAGAATGTGGCTTCCTTTTTATCTGTGGACAATGGGCTTTCTAATGCTGAAACCCAGAATGTGATTGACCAGCTGCTCTGTACCACTGTTCTGTACTCCAGAATGTTACTGACAAGCTGCTCTGTACCCCACTAATGGGGCAGGGACTTTCCCATTAAGCTTAGTGCAGCCCTAGAGCAGTGGTGCTCTCTGAAGGCAGGCCAATCCTGAAGAGGCCCAGGTGAGAGCGGGGCATATCAGCCTATGTCCATAATAACCTATGGTAAGTATGTTACTACTTAACTCCTTAATTAGGCAAGCCCCTCCCAGGGGAAGAATGAATGAGGGGACAGAAGGAAGCCAGGAGATGATGTATGTCCTCCTTCAAGGAAGTAAACTTTTGTAATGGAGAATAAGTCTACTTCAATCAATAATTACAAATTGGTCATATTTATTAGAAGTGAATGGTGAGAGGGAGACTTTGAGGTTTTCATGTTACCTGGACGAACGATTTGTATTTCCAGAAACTAAGAAGTAGAAACAAGATCAGACTGAAGTACTATGGACCAGTTAATTATTTGTCACCCCTTTAAGCTGATATTCTTTAGACCAATCCTCAGTGTTTATTTAAAAGGATTTTAAGTGCTGCACAAGGAAGGGTAACTGGCGGCAGCTCTTGTCGTTAGAGCTATTCTGCTCTATCCCTTAACTAGCATTCTCCTCTTAGCAAAGTAAAAATGCCAAAGAAAAGCCATCAGCGATTCTGGAATATCAAAGGTCAGAATGGTTGCAAGTTCTTACTTAAGAGGTAGTAATTAGGTTGACAGTTTTTTCATCTGTTGAAGTATATGTTTAAAATTCTTGACCATTCAGACATTTTTTCCTGGCAGAAAAAAGGTGTCTGTGTAGGGGGTAGTGGAGGGTGGGCAGGGAAGGTGGTGGGCACGGAAGGTGGTGGCAGGGACTGAAATCAATGGCTGTGTTTGAGTCTTAAAGCTCCTGGTATTAAAGTCGTATTTACTTTCTCCTTTGGGTATATCAGTGCTATCAGTATAAGTGGTGATGAAGATTGGCAGGATAAAAACAATGTTAACTAATGTCTCAGGTAAAAAGTTGAAAATGAATTTAAAGAGAAAAAAAGAGCAAATGAAAGATTTCCAGGTACACTTTGGAGGAAGAGCTTCAGCAAAGTAAAAAAAAGATGCTGTAAGGAAGTGAGAAAACCATAAGCATTATGAAAGATCCTCTTTAATGTATTTATGTATATTTATGGCTTGATTTATTTATGGGAACATCTTTACCTTCTTATAGAAAAAGGAAGCTAACAATGACAAAGCTGGAAATTTTCTTTGGGTTTATTAAAAAGCAGTATTTCAACAAAGCAGAGAAAAATTAAAAGTCAAGCTTCCTGCTCCCTCTTCTTATTGGGAAGTCCGACACAACCTTCACAGGATCAGGAGTTGAAAAAGATGAGAAATGATATGTGTAATTTGTGTGTGTGTATTTATATACAGTCATGTACCACTTAACGGGGATACCTTCTGAGAGATGGAATGTTAGGTGATTTTGTTAGTGTGTGAGCATCCTAGAGTGTACTTACACAGTCCTAGATGGTATAGTCTACTACACACTGAAGCTCCATAGTATGGCCAGTGGCTCTTAGTCTAGAAAGTTGTATAGCATTTTACTGTAAATACTGTAGGCAACTGTAACACAAAGGTAAGTATTTTAAACATAGCATAGAAAAGGTGCAGTAAAAATATGGTATTATAATCTTATGGGACCACCATAGTATATGCAGAGTATTGTTGTCCAGACATCTTCATTTGGCATGACTCTGGGTGTATGCATAAAATTTTATGAGCTGAACCAAGGGTTACCAGTCTCAGTTTATCTAGGTTTGAAGTTCTTTAAAAGAAATCCCAGAGAACTTGGAGGCTAAGGACCTGAAAATAATGCACATGTTTACATGTGTACACTTTCTGCATATCAGTTCACTTGGTCCTTGGACCCTCCCAAAGTTCATTGGTGAACCCCAGTTTAAGAATCTTTGCTCTCACGAGTCTGGGCAACATAGCGAGACCGTATCTCTACCAAAACAAACAAACAAACAAAAACAAACAATTAGGCCAGGCATGGTGGCTCACGCCTATAATCCCAACACTTTGGGAGGCTGAGGTGGGCAGATCACGGGGTCAGGAGATTGAGACCATCCTGGCTATCATGGTGAAAGCCCATCTCTACTAAAAATACAAAAAATTAGCCTGGTGTAGTGGCGGGCGCCTGTAGTTAGTCCCAACTACTCGGGAGGCTGAGGCAGGAGAATGGCGGGAACCCGGGAGGCGGAGCTTGCAGTGAGCCAAGATCACGCCACTGCACTCAAGCCTTGGCGACAGAGCCAGACTCCGTCTCAAAAAAAAAAAAAAAGCATCTTTGCTCCGTCAACCTGCCATCTTCTAATGTTAACAGATGGACATCTAGTTTCTACTTAAAAACATCTGTGAACGGGAAATTTGCCTTTTTGTGCAATAGTACTGTTCAACAGTGGGATAGGCAAAGGTTTGTAAGAAAGCCCATAGGTTGGATTGAAGTCAGCTGTTTGTGACCAAGCTCTAGTTCGAGTTTCCCACAGAGTACTATTAGTGTGCCAGCACTGTTCCTATCCCTCAACACACCCAAGCATACTTGTACAGTTGTAGCTATGTGCACAACTCAAGATCCTGTCTATGTTTTAAAAACATTTTTAGGCTGAGCACAGTGGCTCATTGCCTGTCAATTTCCCCAGTTACTTGGGATGCCCAGGCGGTGGATCACCTTGACGGTCAGAGGTTTGAGACCAGCCTGAACCCAACATGAATGGACCCCATCCATTGGAAATACAGAAAGCCGGGCGCGGTGGCTCAAACCTGTAATCCCAGCACTTTGGCGAGGCGGAGACGGTGGATCCGAGCTCCAGGAGGATCGAGACCATCCTGGCTAACACGGTGAAACCCCGTCTCTACTAAAAAATCAAAAAACTAGCCGGGCGAGTGGTGGGCTGCCTGTTAGTCCCAGCTACTCGAGAGCTGTAGGCAGGAGAATGGCGTGAACCCGGGAGGCGGAGCTTGCAGTGAGCTGAGGATCCCGCCACTGCCACTCCAGCCTGGGCGCACAGAGCAAGACTCTGTCTCAAAAAAAAAAAAAAAAAAAAAAAAAAAAAGAGAAAATACAAAAATTAGTCAGGCGTGGTGGCGCATGCCTGTAATCCCAGCTACTTGGGAGGCTGAGGCAGGAGAATCACTTGAAACTGGGAGATGGAGGTTGCTGTGAGCCGAGATTGCATCATTGCACTCCAGCCTGGGCAACAAGAGCCAAACTCCATCTAAAAACAAACCAAAAACATTTTTAAAAATTGAGGTATAGTTAACATACAATAAAATGCACTGGTCAGACCAGGTGTGGTGGGTCATGCCTATAATCCTAGCACTTTGGGAGGCTGGGGCAGGAGGATTGCTAGAGCCCAAGAGTTTGAGACCAGCCTGGCCAAACATGGTGGGACCCTGTCTCTATTAAAAAGCACAGGTCTTAGGTGTTAAGTTTGATGACTTTTGGCAATTATCTGCACCAGTATAATCACAACCCTAAAGACAGGACATTCTTATCACCTAAGAAAAGCTCCCTCATGCCTCTTTCAGGTCAATTCTCCTGTCTCCAGAAAACCACTTCTGATTTCTGTCACCATAGATTCGTTTTGTGTGTTACTTGATTTCATATAAATGGGGTCATAGTTTGTACTTTCTGGGGTTTGGTTCATCCACATTGTAGTATGTATCAGAAGTTCATTCCTTTTTATTGCTGAAGAGTATAATATTGTAATATTCCACAATTTATCTTCTCAAGTTTAGTGGACATTTGGGTAGTTTCCAGGTTTGGGTCTTACAATAATGCTGCCATAAACATTTTTTGTGCAGGTCTTTTTGTAAACATATTGGTATTCTCTTATGTGAATACCAAATAGTGAAACTGTTAGGTCACGAAGTAGATGAGGGCTTAATTTTATAGGAAGTTCCCCCTGCCCTTGTATTAACCTGTGAGGCATTTTTTATTTGAGTTCCAATATTCACTGTTACCTATTCCTTCTACGTTTTACATTTATAAATTACAAATTTGTTTGTGAATTATATGTTTTCTCTTATTCATGTTATTGAAAAAATATTGAACAGGATGAGGGAGAGGATGAAACTTTCCATTATGATGCTGGATACCAACTTTCAAGATGCCAAAGATCAAAATCACTCGAGTGTGACCATGCAGCTGTATGTGAACTCACCTAACAATCCCGATCCAGGCTACATTTCCCACCTTTTCCATAATACCAAGCTGGAATAAATTTTAATTACTCTCTGTTTTACTTATTACATGTATCTTCTTGCACAAATGCTACTTCCCAACACCCTTTATGATAGAACGCCATACTCATTATCTTGAGTCTATTCTCATTAGACACATGCTTTTCTGCTCAAAGCTGTAGTCAGGATGTATTTAATGTATGTGAAGATGGTCTCAAGTGAATGTAAAACACTATATAAAATTTTAAGTTGACACTATAAATTTTAAAAAGGCTTTTTACCTAAACCAGTATTCAAGTATTGTTAATATATTATTTTATTTGTACTGGCACTAAGTGGGTTTGAACTAGCAGAATTTAGTGCAGATAGTCAATCTGTGGATGCTGCATAGATTCCTATAACCAAGTAATTTCCTCAGGAATCTACCACTTATTGAGCACTTAGTAAGTGTTAAGCACTTTTCTAAGCATTTTATATGTACTAACTCACTGAATCCTTACAATTCAATGAAAATACTGAGATACAGAGAGGGAATTTTCCCAAACAGGCAAATGCAGGGATTCTGGATCCAGAGTCAGTGCTCTTCAATGCTATGCAATGCCACAGCTACATTTAAAGAATGATGGTCCTAGTTTGTTGCAGCATGAAGTATCTGGATATTAAGGCTACCAACTGTAGTTCCTATTCCTTCACATTTCCCTGCTATTTACCTCAAATTCCTATTCCACATTTATTAAGCATCTCCTATGTTTAAAATGATAAAGCCCTTTAATGCTAAGATTCTATTACTGGGAAAGAAAAGTCAATTGGAGAAGAAATGTCACATCAGTGAATTAAGAGATGAGAGACTAATTTCAGGTAAGGGTGAGAGTTGATGACATGTTGTGGGATCAGGTTGGATAGAGTCATGAAACACCTTGCTAAGAGCCTGGCCTTCTAGACCAGGGGCCAAGGCCCAAGAAGGCTACTGAAACTTGGAGTGTGTGTAGGTACAAAGTGATCAAAGTAGCAATTATATTTTCATGGAGAGGTCAGACATTGAATAGTAATTATAGGTATCTAGAGTGCTACAATGAAAGGTAGAGCCTGCAGTGGTGGGACTAAGGGTGGCTTCAACAAAAATACAAATTAAATCAAAAGACTTTTTAAGCAAATGTAGCTTTAATATATGTTTCCAGGGTACTCCCCTGGCTTCTTGTCCCAATATCTCCTCCATTCAAAAAATCACCACCCTAGGGCCCTGTTTATAAGGAAATTCTGGAGCTTTTATTAGTGTAGTGCTATGAGATTATAAAAAGGAAGACAAAATCTGGTAAGCAGGAACTTAGAGAAAGCTTCTGAGAGGAAGTGGCTTTTTAAGCTGAAAGATTAGAATAGGCATTGACCAAGGCAAAATCTGGAAGAAGGCAGGCAGAGACAACACAGGCTAAGATCTCCAAAGAACGGAGAGAATTCAACATGACAAGAGTTGCAGACGCAGAGGAGTGTAGTGTGAGATGGTGCAGGGCCATAACAGGCCATATTAAGAATAATGGATTTTATTTTAAGAGAAATAGGAAATGGATTTTAAGAGAAACAGGAAACAGCTGTTAAGCAGAGTCACATTTTGTGATTTTAAAAAATCATCTAGGAAATGGGATTGGAGACTTTCGCTTACACAATATCGAAGACTAAGATAACTTAAAAACTTTGACCCCTGAAAACACCTGGAAATGGTAGGTAAAATGCAATATATTTGAGGGCATAGCTGAGCTTACAAGAAAGAAAAGGCAATCTCCAAGTGACACAACCAACAGGAAACTTAAAAGAGGGGTTCAATACATGTACTGATTCCTTGGTCACCCTGGGAAAGTTGCTATCTCTAATTAAAGGGCTTAGGTTTTAATACGTATGTAGGCTGAGTGAAACAGACTGTCAACACCCCTCCATCTCTCCCCCCACACATAAAGCTAGAATCTATTAAAGGTCTGCATACATTAGTGAACGCATGGACTAAAAAAGTTTTCTAAGGATGTGAAGCCCCTGGACTTTACCTTAAGCAGATTTGGGTTTCAAGTTTTCATTCCCTACAGTCTGAGAATCTCTAAACAAATTCCCAAACATAATATAAAATAAAAATTGCTTCTTTGGTAGGTGATACCTCCAGGGCTCCTGGTAAAAGCAAACACAAAATCAGTCTACGCAGATGTTTCTACAACCTAGTCCTTTCAGAAGGAAAAATAAGTTCCATGAAGGATGAGCTCACAATAAAAACTTAGAAAATATGTGAGCAAATAATTGAAAGTCAGCAGATACAACAAGTATCAGAATTAGAGTGCTTATAATTGCTAAAAATAGAGAACAAAACATTAAGTGACAGGCTAAATAGGTTGATATAACCAAGGATAGAATGAGTGAACTGGAAGATAGAACTAACGAAATGATACAGAAAGAATGTAGCTAAAGAGATGGAAAATATGAAAAAGGAGTTAAGAAACACAGGTTATAAACAATGTGAATTCCATCAGGGCAGAATATTGGTTTTGGTCACTGAGGCATCCCAAGGGCCTAGAACAAGGTCTAGCACAGTTGTTCCTGACTATTATTAGTTAAATCAAAGCCCAAAAATTATGAGATATTGCATAAGGAGAGAATGGGAAAAAGGCAACATTCAACAAGCCAATAATTTTTCATAATAAAAAGCATGAATATTTATAACCATAGTGAATCCCAAGCAGGATAAATTACTGACTTCCACTTCTGCCCATGAAGTCCTCTACTATGGGACTTGTTCAGCCACTATAAGCAAAAAGGATGGAAAATATTAATCAACTTTTTCAGAAATTGTGCAATAGCTAGTAAAAGATGATGATTCCAGAGAGAAGGAAAATAAGCAGTGAGCCCCATGTTCTTCCTATATTTCTTCCCAACGTAGTTTCAGAATTGTGAGACAAGGAGTGAGAATCCAGAGTCCAGTAATGTCACTGAGTTGAAGAGACAGACTGAAGTTTGCAGAGGCCGCAAATGTAGAATTTGCTAGCAGAGTAATAGACAGGAAAGAGCTATGCAGAGAAAGAGCTCCAGAATTCTGTCTCCTGAGTGTTGACTGAATACTAATCCATTCATGTGTAGGATGAAACTTCATGTAACTATGGAAAGAACTGCAGGGTAAAGAACAATTGCAGGGAGTTGTGAGCCAAACAACACTCAAAAGTAATACTTTGAACAGGCTTGGGAATCATTCAAGCAACCAGCAGCCAGAATGGACAGACCTTGTTGAATAAATGGGACATTCAGTGAAGACCCTAGATGCTTCATATCTTTGTACTGGGGGTAAGTGAGCATAGAGTGAAAGCTCCCATAGATCTGCCCCAAAAAACTTAAAAGCAAGCCTAATAAAGATGAAGCTGATCTCTAACAAACTTAATTGCCTGACAAAACAAAGTTAACTCTTTAAAGGAATACAAGAAGATACAGCTTATACAAATGTAAAACTCCCAATGTACAGTATCCAATTTAAAAAGTTACAAGATATACAAGGCAGGAAAGTATAATAAATGACTAAAACAAAAATAGGCCAATAAAAGTTGATCCAGAAATGACAGAGATAATGGAATCGGCAGATAGCGGTGTTAAAATAGTTATTCTGAACATTATATACATGTTCTAGAATATGAAACATGAATACAATAAAGAGACAAATAAAATATATATATAAAATAAAGAACCAAATGGAATTTCTAGAGGTAAAAAAAAGAAAATACAATATCATGACAGAAAAAATACACTGGATAGGATTAATACACGATTTAAAAAAGCAGAAGAAACTATCCAAAATGAAGCCCAGAGGGAAGAAAAGACTAAAAATCACAAGAGATTTAGAAAATACTTTAGACTGAATGACAACATATAAAAATTTGTAGGGTGCAGCTAATAGAGTACTTAAAGGAAAACTTACAGCATTAAAAATACTCATATTAAAATAAGAGAAGTCTTAATTCATAGTACCTTAAGAAGTTAGGAAAGGGCAAATTAAATCCAAAGTAGAAGGAAGAATGTCAAAGAGTAGGAATCAGTGAAATAGAGAATGAATAAAAAAGAGATACATCACTGAAACTAAAAACTGGTTCTTTGAAAGTCATAAACTTCTATTTAGATTGATCAAGAAGAAAGCACAAATAATCCCTTTTCCTGTTTGGACAAAAGAGCGCAGCTTGCTACCACCACTCGTTTAATTTTACATAAATACGTTCTTAGAGACTGAAGCAAATCTGACAGATTTTCAATGTGAAAATAAAATACAAAAACTTTTCTTGGAGTTATTTCTAACAGAACTAAGATCAGAATCGTCTGAATCATCAGAATCGTCTATTTTGGAAAAACTGGGTTCATCAAATGAATCTTCGACCAACAACTGTTCAAGAATGATGTTAACATCACACATAGGATTGCTTTGTTTTCTAGAATTTGACATTTTCAGGTTTTGAGAATTACTACATTTTCTAAATGGAAATATAGTACTACTATAAACAGAATGCTATATATAGAATATCTTTTGTTTCCAAAGTCAATATACTAGAGTGATGGAAAAACAATAAGAGCGAGCTTATTTTGTGGCAAAGTTATCTTTGGGTAAATGCTGCAGCCACAAGTGCTGCCAGTGAATATTCTTGTGGCAAATGGGAAAAAGGTTATCAATATCAGGAATGAAAGAGAGGAGGATAACTAGAGCTCTTACATGCAAGACAAAAAGTACAAGGGAATATTATGAATAACATGTCAGACAATTTGATAACTTAGATGAACAAAATCCTTGTATAACACAAATTAGCAAGACTGTCTAAAGAAATAGAAAATCTAAACATCTCTGCATCAACTTTAAAAATGAATTCATAACTTAAAACGTTTCTACAAGCAAAAGTCCTAGCGCAAATAGTCTCACTAGTGTGTCAAACTTTCAAGAAAGGAGTAATATCAATCTACACAAACTCTTTCAGAAAACAGAGGAGGTGGGAGGACTTGTGAACCCCTTTTATGAGGCTAGTATTATTACCCTGATAACCAAGGCTAGAAAAAATTTTAAAAACCATAAGAAAACTATAGACCAATAACTCTCACAAACATAGATATGAAGGTCTTTAACAAAATATTAACAAAATTCAGCAATATACAAAAATGATGTTATGACTGAGTGATGGATTTTTCCCATTAACTCAAGGTTGGTTTAACATGGGAAATCCATTAATTTAACTCACCATATTAAGAGAATAAAAGAGAAAAAAAAATCATCTCAATAAAGTAGCTGACAAAGTTCAACAGTCACTCAAGATTAAAAAAAGAAAAAAGGAAAAAAACCTCCCAGCAAAGAAAGAATACAAGGAAATATCTTCAGTCTGAGAGGTTATTAGTGATCACTTACAGCTAATATCACAGTAATGCCCTAGGACCAAATGCTTCCTCCCAAAGTCGAGAAAAAGGCAAAGACAAGGGCTCTTCTCACCCCTATTCAACATTATGGAGGAAGTTCTAGTAGTGCAGTAAAGTAAGAAAATACATGCAAAACAGAAAGACAGAAGTAAATTGCCTTTATGTGTAGACTTTAAGATCATGTACAAAAAAAATCCTAATGGAACTGCAAAAAATGGTAGTAGAACTAGTGAGTGAATTTAGCAAGGTCTAGGTATGAAAATCAATTGTATTCCATAAACTAGCAGCAAAATAACTGAAAATTAAAAATAATACATTTATAACAAGTCAAGAATATGAGTTGCGAAGGGACAAACTAACAAAATATGAAGAAAAATTAGAATGACTAGACTTCTCAACAACAAAATCAAGTCTGTAAGAAAATTAGTAACTCTTAACCTATACCTCAGGAATGAGGGCAAAATTAAATTCATTTTAAGGGAAACACAGAATTTGACCATTATCAAAATGACATAAAGAAAAAGTAGAGTACTTTCTTAGTTCACTGGTGTTGCTATAAAGGAATACCCGAAGCTGGATAATTTATAAAGAAAAAATGTTTACTTGGCTTACAATTCTGGTGGCTGGAAGATTGGGCATGAGGTGAAAGTCTCAGGCTGCTTCCACTTATGCTGGAAGGCAAAGGGGAGCTGGCATGTGCAGAGATCACATGGAAAGAAAGGAAGCAAGAGAGAAGTAGCACCAGTCTCTTTTAAACAACCAGCTGTCTTGGGAACTAATCGAGTGAGAGCTTACTTATCTCCTCCTCCCAGTGAGGGCATTAATTCATTCAGGAGGGACCTGTTCCCATGACCCAAACACCTGCCATTAGACCCACCAGCAACACTGGGGATCAGATTTCAACATGGGACTTGGAGAAACCAAATTGTAGCAGATAGAAAGCAAAAAAAAAAAAAAAAAAAAAAAAAAAAAAAAAGTTCAATAAAAGTAAAATTATAGCAGTTATCACAATACATGTACATTTACAACTCCCAAGGGAGAAAAATTAAACAGATTCAATAATTAGAGAACCTGTAAGACTTATAATCATTAAAAAACTAGTACAAAATTTCCCCATGAAAGCATAGAAAGATAAGATGGTTTTGGTGTCAAGTTCACCAAACTCTCAATAGGTACAACTTGTTCCCACAGATACCAAAAATACAAGGTATATACAAGAAATTATATAGGCAAATTTTAGTCATGATCATAGACACAAAAAATCCTAAACAAAATGTTGGCCGGGCGTGGTGGCTCACGCCTGTAATCCCAGCACTTTGGGAGGCCGAGACACGCGGATCACTTGGTGTCAGGAGTTTGAGAACAGCCTGGCTAACATAGTGAAACCCCAACTCTACTAAATATACAAAAATTAGCTGGGCATGGTGGGCACACGCCTGTAATCCCAGTTACTTGGGAGGCTGAGACAGGAGAATCGCCGGAACCTAGGAGGTGGAGGTTGAGGTAAGCCGAGATTGCACCACTGCACTCTAGCCTGGCTGACAGAGCGAGACTCCTCTCAAAAAAAAAAAAAAAGTTAGCAAACAAATCCTACCTATGTATTAAAAGAATTATGACTTAGAAGAAAACAGAAGGAAAAAAATAGACAAATTGGATTCAATCAAATTTCAGAACTATTGTACATCAAAGGACACTATCAACAGAGTAAAAAGGCAACCCACAGAATGGGGGAGGACATTTGGAAATCACGTATCTGATAAGGGACTAATATCTAATATATATACAGCCTAAAACACAACAACGAAAAATAGCCTATTGGATTTGAATAGACATTTCTTCAAAGATACACAAACTTTAATGTTCATTGATGGATAAAGAAAATATGTATACATACAATGAGATATTACTCAACCTTAAAAAGGAATAAAATTTTGATACATGCTATAACGTGGATGAACCTTGAGGTTATTATGCTAAGTTAAATAAGCCAGACACAAAAGGACAAATATCCTATGATTCCATTTCTGTTAGTTACCTGAAACAGTCAAATTCATAGAGATAGAAAGTAAAAGTAGTGGTTACCAGAGATTGGGAGAGAGAGGAGAAGGCAGAGTGATTGTTTAATGGGTACAGAGTTTTAGTTTGGAAAGAAGAAAAAGTTCTGGAAAAGGGTGTACAATCATGTACTTAATGCTACTGAATGTAATTAATGCTACTGAACGTACTTAATGCTACTGAACTTTAGAAATAAAATGATCAAAATGGCCAGGTGTGGTGGCTCATGCCTGCAATCCTAGCACTTTGGGAGGCTGAGATGGGAGGATTGCTTGAGGCCAGGAGTTTAAGACAGGCCTAGGAAACACAAACAGTCTCTAGCGCTACCAAAAAAAAAAAAAAAATTAGCCAGGTGCAGTGGTGCACACTTGTAGTCCTAGGTTAAGGGGATCCTTTGAACCCAGGAGTTTGAGGCTACAGTGAGCTATAATTGGCCACTGCACTGCAGTCTGGGTGACAGAATGAGAATAAAAAAAAAAAAAAAAAACTTAAAAAGATCAAATGATAAATTCTATGTACATTTACCACCTCCACCAACACGCAAAAAATTGTGACTATACAATATACCCAGCATAAAGCTAAACAAAGCAATGGAAAGAAGCCCATTCTATGACAAAGCTAGGAATATTCAGCAGTGGGGAAAGAAGACATTAGTCAATGAATTCTGCTGGGACAACTGGTTATCCTCGTGGGAAAAAATAAAATTAGATCCCTAGTACTCAAAATAAATGCCATATGGTTTAACGACCTTAAAGCGAAAAACAAAACTGTACAAATTTTAGACAAAATCTTAAGGAAAAAGGTGGTAGAGGATACTAATATTTCAAGCTTCTAAATATCAAAGGGAATTATAAGCAAGGTATAAAAAAGGGCAGAGATTGAAGAAAGATACTTAGAATACACGTAAACAGAAAAAAGGACTAGTATGTAGACTATATAAAAAATCCATAGTTTTACATTCTAGTAGAAAAGCAGGGAAAAGGTATAATAATTCATAAAGGAAGAAATGAGAATAATAAACACTTGAATTCTCATAAGTAATTAAATCAATGAGATACAAGTTCATAGTAATTAAAACAGAGAGAGAAATAACTTCATACTTCCTGGCTTGGCTAATTTTAATGTCTAATAAAACTAAGTGATCGACAGCGTGTGCTGCTACTGGAATTTAGAAATTGCTGTTAGGACAGTGATATACTCCTTATAACAGAATTGGTGCAACCACTGTAGGAAGCAATTTCCTACAGTTCAATATACTCTACAACCGAGCAATTCCCCTTCTAGGTATTAACTTTATAGAAAGTTAAGCATTTTAAGTGTACAAAGATGCAGAATGTTCACTGCAGCGCTAATTTGTAAATAATAAAGTGGAAATGAATTGTGTCTGAAAAGAAGAAATGAGTATGTCTGATTTATATAATAAACTGTACAATGATGAAAATAATCTACATCTGCCAACATGGATAAATCTCAAAAACAATGCTGAAAGTCAGTTGTAAAATGATATGTACAACATAATATTCATATAAAATGTTAAGATATAAAACAATACTTAAAAGCCTATGGATAAATATGACAAGATTATAGGAACATTAAAAATACAAACACTTTAACACTGATTTTAGGATAATGATTGACTCTTGGGATGAAGGGAAGGGAAGCATCACAGCTAGATCAGAGTGTCAGAGCAGAATGATCTTTAAGGCAAAATTAAAGTACTCAATGGTCTAGAGCAGGAGTTGGCAAACTTTTTTGGTAAAGACCAGAAAGTAAATATTTTAGGACTGTAGGCCAAGAGGCAAACTCAAGAATATAATGTAGGTACTTTGCTGGGGTTCAAAGTTAGTGCTTCTATCACTAAAATTGATTTCAAGTGTTTGCTTTTTTTTTTCCAACTATTTAAAAACGTAGAAACTATTCCTAGCTTATAGGCCATCCTGAAGCAGGTGGTGTGCTAGATTTGGCCATGGTCCAACTGAACTTTCTGTGATGATGGAAATGTTCAATATTTCCTCAATTGTCTAATATAGCCACATGTAGCTACTGATCACTTGAAAGGTGGTTACAGGGATTGAGAAACTGACCTTTTTTTTTTTTTTTTTTTTAAGACATTGTCTCGCTCTGTCGCCCAGGCTGGAGTGCAGTGGCGCGATCTCCGCTCACTGCAAGCTCTGCCTCCCGGGTTCACGCCATTCTCCTGCCTCAGCCTTCCGAGTAGCTGGGACTACAGGTGCCCCCCACCACGCCTGGCTAATTTTTTGTATTTTTAGTAGAGACGGGGTTTCACTGTGTTAGCCAGAATGGTCTCGATCTCCTGACCTCGTGATCCGCCCACCTCGGCCTCCCAAAGTGCTGGGATTACAGGCGTGCGCCACCCGCCCAGCCGAGAAACGGACTTTTTTACTGTCTAGTCTTAGTTTAAGATAGCTACTCTAGTGTTTCCATGAATTTAAAGAATAAGTATAAAGGGAGTAGTAAGAAAAAAAACTGAAAAATTAAGAGACTGTGATGGGAGACTAGGGTATATGAATCAGTGATGAGGGGGCTAGAAAAATCGGGGATGATGAAAAGGATTTCGGCTCTGACTGACATAGAATACAGAAAGATAGGGAGATAACAGCCAAGAAAATCTGAGATATCAGGATTAGAACGGTCCCCCCATAAAATTATAATTTGTGAATCATGAACTGGGATATTACATAGAGAAAAGTTGGGAGAGAGAAGTGTTAGGCTGAAAGTATGGAGGGGAAGCTGAGAGTTTCACAGCAATGACTACTGAAAATACTAAGGATTAACTCACCTAGATCACACCCCCGCCCCCAAAAAAGAGAATACCAAGGGGAGGGGAGAGGAAATGTCCAAGGATGAGAATAGTGAAGACAGAGAGATATTCTATTTTTGATAATTAAAGAATAGAAGGAAAGCAGTCACTATCTTATACAAGCTTTATTGCTCTTTAAAAATGAATAACCTACAAAGTTTTAAAATTTAAAGAGGTATATACAAGTATAGACATCAAACTTTCTGAACTGAACTAATTCCCTTTCGTTGGTTGATCAAAAATATGCAAAAACCCTAAATATTCACACATTTAATCTTTGAGATTTCTGACTAAATAAGGAGCTATCCTGAAAGTACATGACATTTGTAATTTTATTGAGGCATCACTCTGAACATATAATTAGAGCTTGGGGTTCAGAACTAGTCACTTACCTAGTCCCTGAGCCTAAAAAACAATAAATTTCTCTAGTCATTTTTCCATACACATTTTATCTGAAAAATTAAATACAACAGTGGTATGAGGAATTCATAAACAACTTAGGGTGTACCCTACTGTAAATATCAAAAATGTATTCTACTCAAATACTACACAGAGTTTCAAAAGATCCACAATAATTTATTTTACTTAAATACTGTACTGAAGGGTTTCAAAAGATCCTCTTAGAAAATCATTCACTTTAGTATCCCCCACTTAAGGGAAAAATAGAGATGCCAGAAGCTTATAACGAAAATATCTTAATTTGAGTAATCATTATTCATTTCTAAAATGTTTGTATAAGATATATTTTGGGCCGGGCGCAGTGGCTCATGCCTGTAATCCCAGCACTTTGGGAGGCTGAAGCGGGCAGATCACCTAAGGTTGGGAGTTTGAGACCAACCTGACCAACATGGAGAAACCCTGTCTCTACTAAAAATACAAAATTAGCTGGGCGTGGTGGCGCATGCCTGTAGTCCCAGCTAGTCGGGGGTCTGAGGCTGGAGAATAGCTTGAACCTGGGAGGCAGAGGTTGCAGTGAACTCAGATCACGCCACTGCACTCCAGCCTGGGCAACAAGAATGAATTTCTGTCTCCAAAACAACAACAACAACAAAAAGATACATTTTGACCAACATTAAGAGGTTTAGGCAGCATAAGAAATCGGTATGATGATAATGCTTAAGTTCCGTTATTTATATTCAAAAGAAAAAACAAATTAGATTTATTAACATTTTAATACAAAACATCCCATTTGAAGCATAGCTCTGAAGAAACGTTTATGACCTAGGGTCTTGTCAAGAGAATATTCTATGGCAATGGCTCACTCTGTGTACTCTTACAGATCCTCTCTTGAAGCAACAGAAAGAGGTGTAGATTGAATTTAAACAATATCCAACAAAACCTTCATTGTATTTGTTTCATACTTTTTTTAGAACGTCTCAAATCCTTTTTCTGCTTGAAAATAGGAGAATTCAAAAAGCACAAATCTGTAAAAGGGTCCCCTCTTCTCAGTTTCCTGGAAGAGTAAAAAGAGATCTCAGGCATAATATAAGCATCCCAATATTAACTTACTCCTCAGTATCAAGTTATGGTAAAATACATCAATTTTAAATGTTACCACTTCAGTTTTTTAAAATCAAATGTTTTTATTTCAGAAAAAACTCATTATTGAACAAAGCTCCATAATCTTATTCCCCCGACATGTATCATTAAAAATAAGTTCCCACAAACCAAATACTTACGAAGCGAGGGTGGGCTCCTTATAGTTCACGCTGACTGTGCACCTACGTTTAGGCAGAGCCACTGCTGGGCTTTCTTTATTCTTTTCTGGAGAAAGAGAAAGCCTTCCGATTTTCACAACAGGATACAAGGAGACATTGGTGATATCCTTCAGTTTAAGATGAGGTGACTGGTGAGTTTCAGGTGGTGTACCTACAAAATAATTTTTACTGAATGATTTAAAAAAAACCCACACAGGAACTAAAATTATACTCAATTTTATATATCTTAACTGTATACAAAATCCAGCATTTAATAACAGAATTTTTTTTAGATGGGCTCTCATTGTGTTGCCCAGGCTGAAGTGCAGTAGTGTGATCTCAGCTCATTGCAACCTCCACCTCCTGGTCTCAAGCAATCCTCCTGCTTCAGTCTTCTGAGGAGCTGGGACTACAGGTGTGCACCACCATGTCCGGCCAATAATATATATATATTTTTTTGGCTTTTTCATCATTTTTTCCTCTTCCTTTCAAACCATTGTTGAAATATTAATTATAACAGAACACTTCACTAAAACGTAAAATTCTTCTAGGATAGCTTGGGCATAATAAGTTAGTTTAACCATGGAATTTCATTTTAGTCATACCTTGCTATTTGGAATCAAGTCCTCTCTTTTTCAATACCAAGGTTTTTATCAAGTCTCTTCCTATAGTCTTATAAAGCCGCTAAAATTCCTTCTATTAAACAAATGAGAATTCTAAATAACAGCTTCTGTGTAAACCAGGAGACAAACTAGCATGTTAAAAAGTTACTCAGTTTTTTTCCCATCATAAACATCCAAGTATACTTCGGAGCTACACCTATATTGGAAGGCAAATGTCCAACACATAATAAAGACACTGCAAAACAATCTCCTCAAATAGCTTTAAAAAGCAAACTGTAGCCCCAAAAAAGTAAACTATAACCGTGAAATGACTGTATACTAAGAGCCATATGCTCCAGTGTTATCTGGTTTTTATAGTCTGTCCTATTTGTTGCCACATAAATATATTGTACTGTATTAATTATTCCAACTTTCGGTTTGAGAAATATATCTTATGGAACAATATCAGATAGGTTGCTACATTCTGGAAAAATGCTTCTCAAACTTTAATGTGTATATGATCCACAGGAGGACTTCTTAGTGGCCAGGCACGGTGGCTCACGCCTGTAATCCCAACACTCTGGGAGACCCGAGGTTGAGTTTCAGGTCAGCCTAACCAACATGGAGAAACTCCGTCTCTACTAAAAATACAAAATTAGCCCGGCGTGGTGGCACATGCCTGTAATCCCAGCTACTCGGGAGTCTGAGGCAGGAGAATAGCTTGAACCCAGGAGGTGGAGGTTGGGATGAGCTGAGATCGTGCCACTGCACTGTAGCCTGGGCAACAAGAGCAAAACTCTGTCTCAAAAAAAAAAAAAAAAAAAACCCCCACAAAGATGCAGGTTCTGACTCCAGGGTATGGGATATGGCCTGAGATTCTGCATTTCTAAGAGGTCTAGGGATCAAACTCTTGAGTAACACTATTTTAGAGTATTTTTTTTCTTTTAAAAATATATTTTTTATGGATTTTATGTATTTTTATGGATACAGGCTCACACACCTGTAATCCCAGCACTTTGTGAGGCCAAGGCAGGAGGACTGCTTGAGCCCAGGAATTTGAGACCACCCTGGCAACACAGTGAGACCTCATCTTTACAAAAAGTAAAAAAAAAGAAAAAAAAAATTAGCCAGGTGTGATGGCGTATGCCTATAGTCCCGGCTACTGGGGAGGCTGAGGTGGAAGAATCACTTGAGCCTGGGAGGTTGAGACTGCATTGAGCCATGACAGTGACAGTGCCCTCCAGCTGGGTGATAGAGCAAGACCCTGTCTCAATTAAAAAGTGAACAACTACCAAAAAATCCCAACTTCTTCAGGACATTTTCAAATGTACACAAAGACGGCAATAACAGTATAATAAACTCTGAGTTACCTAGGTTCAATAATTATCAACACTCTGCCAATCTTGTTTGATTTTTTTTCTTTTTTTGAGACCGAGTTTTGCTCGTTGCCTAGGCTGGAGCACAATGGCATAGTCTCGGCTCACTGCAACCTCTGTCTCCTGGGTACAAGCGATTCTCCTGCCTTAGCCTCCCGAGTAGCTGGGATTACAGGTGCGTATCACCACGCCCAGCTCATTTTTTTGTATTTTTAGTGGAGATGGGGTTTCACCATGTTGGCCAGGCTGGTCTCGAACTCCTGACCTCAGGTCATCCGCCTACCTCGGCCCCCCAAAGTGCTGGGATTACAGGCATGAGCCAACCCGGCCAGCCTACAGCATATTTTTTAAGAAGATACCTGCCTGCTACCACTGACTAGCCGATTTAGAAAGTTGGTTCGGTTTTTAAGGTTTTAATCTCCTTATAAACAAAATAAGCATCATAACACCTGTACTTCACAGAATTGTTCTGAGGATCAAATAAAATGATATAACAATATTTTGAAAATGATACAACTTGACTATGTATGTTAGTTTTACTTGTATTAACTAAAACTGCCAAATGAGAATCTTTGTGGACAGGTGTAGGTTGTATTATGAACATCTGAACTATGCCTACTTTTGATCTCATAAAATATTTTCTGAGCCAGTTTTTAGAGATGTTGTACAAAAGAATACTAAGTCTATCAATTGAGGAAATCTTCACTAACTAGAAGATTATTTAAAATCATAGTTCCTGTCAAATTTAATATAAAACAAGGCCATTAAAATAACAAGTCACTAGATTCAAATTTGATTTCACTTTCAAGGGGATACTTCAGGTAAGTGTATAAAAGCTACTTTAATTCAACCTAACTCCACAAAAGAGTCCCTCTGTCCTCTTGGGAGTCCTTATTTACTGAAAATAAAAATTCTGTCTCCACAACAAGCAATCTCTGAATTAGGTCAGAGCAATACAACTGTGATTTCCACACCCAGCCCCACACTGTTTAATCAGACCATAACTTCCCCCAAAGAGAGACAGATGGTAAGTCTCCAACCTCCACCAGAGAAACAGATGGTAAGTATAGTATATAAGCATCAGGAGTGATCATTTATCACAAACATTAAAAACGCAGGTAAACAAGTAGATCACTTACTAGTAGGAGTTTCTGTTGGCTTAGAACCCTCCGTCTCTTTTTCATCTGTATATTTCAGTCCTCTTTTAGCTAGAGGCCTGGTGACTGGTCTTGTACCTGAATCGCTGGTGGGATTCTGAATGTACTTGCAAGTGGGCAAATAGAGGTCATCGGAATCATCTCCTGAACCACTTGATTCACAGAGGCTCACTTCAGACTCATTGTTTTTTTCTCTATTAGAGTCATTGCTCATTTTTTGTCGGAAAGGAGTAAGATGAACACCCTCTTCCAAATTAAAATTGTAAGCATCATTGCAACTGACAGATTTGTGCATTTTCTTTTTGGAAACAGTTCTTTTATTTTCACTTTTATTCTCTTTATATTTTGATATAGGTTTTGATTTTCTCCTGTTAGCTTTTCTTTTCTCTTCTCTTTTTCTTTCTTGTGTATCTCTTTGCTTACTTTTAGTTTGTTCAGATTTAGACTCTAAAATGTCTTCTTTTGTTTTAGTAAACGTTCCTTGATGAATCAGCTTTGAAAGTGATAAGTTAGCTTGGTCCTTGCTCCATTGACAAACATTGTATTGTACATTTTCAGGCATGTTTACTAGTGGGTCTAAAAATCCAACTCTTTCGAATTCAAAAGACTTCCCTGCCAAATGACTGGTTTCAAAATCATCCAAGCTATCAAACTGACATACACTGTTACAATGTTTCTTTAAACTGCTACGGACAGATACAGTTCTAGGTAAGACATTATCAGTGGACTTAGCTTCACCTGAATCAAAATCAAATCCCAGTGTTTCTTGAGGAATAGTAGGTATCTGATCTGAGAATTTAAAAAATAAATTAGAAAAATAGTTTGACTTTGTGGAAAATTGAATTTCAAGAACTTTAGAATTCAAAGTAAAAAACTGAATGACCAAAAATCATTCGGTAGTTTTCCTACATTATAAAATCTGTAAATAAAAATCTGGGGAACTAAAATAATACCATCTATTTACTTGTCAATGATCAACTGATGGCTTATATCTGACATGTGAAAGAATCTTGTACAGGTTCAGTATCCCTAACCTGAAAATATGAAGTCCAAAACTTTTTCAGTGCAGTCATGATGCTCCAAGGAAATGCTAACTGGAGGGTTTTGGATTTCAGATTTTCAAATTGGGGATGATGAACTGATATAATGTAAATATTCCAAAATTAAAAAAATAAATCCAAAACACTTCTGGTCCCAAGCATTTTGAATAAGGGACACTCAATCTTTATAATCTTTAAAAATATTATAGGCCAGGCACAGTGGCTCACGCCTGTAATCCCAAACTTTGGGAGGCTGAGGCGGGCGGATCACGAGGTCAGGAGATGGAGACCATCCTGGCTAACATGGTGAAACCCCGTCTCTACTAAAAATATATATATATATATATATAAAATTAGCTGGGCATGGTGGCGGGCACCTGTAGTCCCAGCTACTTGGGAGGCTGAGGCAGGAGAATAGCGTGAACCCAGGAGGTGGAGCTTATAGTGAGCTGAGACTGCGCCACTGCACTCTAAGCCTGGGCAACACAGCGAGACTCTGTCTCAAAAAAAAAAAAAAAAAAAAAATTATAACAGGCTTTTATGTGCTCTTAGTTTAAAGAAAATGAATATGTGTTTCACTGAGTACAGATTCAGAGAAGTACAACCGCATATTCCAGAGTGGGACAAACGAAAAAGTGGGAGCTAAGTTGTTCTTTGAAAAATAAATAAGATTTGGATAACTAGAAAGCTTCTCAGGTAAGAAATATAATCTGTATTTTAAGGAAAAGTGAGGCTATGTCCGGTTTTGCTATTCAAATACTATCCCTTCTTCGAAGCTTAGTTCAAGTGGAGGAGATTGACATTTGAGAACATAGACATATCAATTTAAAAGTAGTAAGAAGGGGATAGCTTTGGAGTTCAACTTTGATTTTAAATACTAGCTCTTAACATCTAGACTTCTTCATATGAGATACTTTACCTTCTTGAGTTCCTATAAAACGGGACTAATGTACTTATATTCCTAGGTTGTTGTGAGGGTTAGGTGAGATTATGCAGGTAAAATGCTTAACATAGAGCTTGACACATAGTAGCAATCAGTAAATTGCTGCCATAGTTATAGCCAAAGTTTCAGATTACAGATTTGACACAATAAACATATTTTAAAATTCTATTACTCTGTGTAAAATAAACAGATTTCCTTTGAGCGGAATACCAGATGAACAAATTTAAAAAGTTTAGAAAAAAAGAATTAGAGAAATTTAATTGTATTATTTGTTCTCAAAGACCTTATCTTGCCCTTAATAATATTTTTAGATTTTCACTTGATTACCTTCTATTTGAAATGACTCTCCTTGTCCTGGAAGTTCAGTTTCTTCAAGAGGAATTTGCCTTAGAAAATACCAATGAAAAAACAGAAATTTAATGATTATGTAATAAAAACAAATTCAGTATTTTCCTAATTTTTCTTTCCTTTAGTATCATTTCATAACTCGATTTCAAATCAATACATCTATTCTGTATCAAAGGAAACCAAAGGACACTTATGCTGATTATAGGGAGATTGATTTGTTATGACTGACATTCAACTCCTACTTGAAGAACTAACCTATCAAGTTGGATAGTTCCACCTGAAAACATGTTATATAACTCAATTTCATTTAACTAAGGAAACAGCCAATGATAATTAATTTGTAAAATGTTTTTTAAAAAATGTAGTTTGATCACTCTTTAGGAGCCTGCTTTATCATTAGCAGAGCTATAATTTGTTTGTAATATATGCTTTTATGGTGCTTAACTATTGAACTCTTCTGAAGTTAACATTGTTCATTTTCTTTAAAAATGTTGTTCTTTACTTCATGAAACATGAAGTGTTCTTTATACTCTAACACTATTACTGGCAGTTTCATTCTAATTGTAATTTTATTCTTTATTTGCTGTAGAGAATTTTCCACTCTAGACATTAAACAGATTTAGGTAATGGCTGTGGTAACTAATAACTATTTTAGAAAACTTCTACAAACGCGATTACCTTATCTTACTTTTTGTCCACAACATAAGTTTGTCAGATCTTAAAGTCCAACAGTTTAAAAACTACTAATGATTAAAAGTAATCTATGGCAATAGAAATCATCTTAGTGGTTACTTCTGTGGAGAAGGGGATGGACTTGAAAGGCATACGAAAGAACTGTCTATGGCAGTAGTTCTCATCTAAGGGCAATTATGCTCTCCAGGGAACATGTGACAATATCTGAAGTCATTTTTTGTTCTCCTGAGGGAATACTAGGATTCATTGGGTGGAGGCTATGGATGCTACTAAACATCCCATCATGCACAGACAGCCCTCTACAACAAAGAATTATCTGGCCCATAATGTTAATAGTAAAAACACTATGTCTTCATTGACATTTTTGTTCCACGATATATACATTAGTCAAACTCATCAAACTGTGTAACTGTGATCTGTACATTTTACTGTTTATAATTAAAGCTTAATAATTCATAAACAAATAAATAAAGTACATTTGATCCAAGAGAAGGGGACGAGGGTATAGGTGATCTAGAAAAATGAACTGGATCAGCGAGACAATGGGACAACTGTGTTAAATATGATGTTTCATTTATTTATTTATTTTTCCCCCAAACCAGACTATTTATAGGGCTGGCAAAACATCTCATTTCAATAGCTAATCCTTCTTAAAATAAAAACATGGTACACAGAAAAGTATGACTGAAGGAAAGTATGAAGTAGAATTAAAAATTCTGGTAAGGCTCCTTTTTCCTAGGCATCAAAAAAGGAGTGAAATATGAGAAAAAGGGGTTTAGCTTGGCTATATGTGATAGAATTTCAACACATCAAATTCTCTTAAATATATTCTCAGCAGAGAAAGCATCAGACTACAAATATAAGAGTTGACATGATGCACATTTCCTTTCATAAATGAATCACAGAATTAAATCTTTCTTAGTATTAATAATCATAATAAAGAATTTGATACTAACGGTAAATCCTTCACAAATAAATTTCTGGAGTTGTCATCGCTATTGGGGTCCATTCCAGAGGAACATATTTCCTGGTTCTGTTAATGTATTAAAACAAAACACTGTTATAACTGAAGTATTCAGAAGAAAGCATTAACTTATTCAACAATATGCACTTGTTGACAGTCTACCATGGTGCCATGCCATAGTTCTAGGAACTGAGTCTATAAGAGCTCAAAAGCAGAGTAAGTCTTATCCTCTTAAAGCTTACATTCTAGTGCAGGGAAATAAAATTTTAAAAAGAGAAGACATATGTACAAAATTTCAGATTGTGATAAGTGCCATGAAGGAAATATCCAGGGTGAGGTGATAGAGAGTAACTCAGGTTGGATTGCTCTTTTAAATAGAGTGTATCTGATATAAATCAGAAGACTGCAAAGGAGCCAGCCACTGAAAGAGCAGGAGGAAAAGAAGGCAGTGGAAACAGCAAATACACATAAGAAAAATCTTGCTGTGTTTAGGAAAGAAAGGCTGTTGTGGCTGGAACATAGTCACTGAGAACAGTAGGAGATATACATGCAGAGGCCACATAATGTAGGGCCTTGAGAACCATGAGTTTAGATTTCAGTCTAAGTATGATGGGAAGGTACTTAATATTAACAAAGGAAGTAAACTGATTTAAGTTTTTGAAAGATCAGTCTGAATTAAAAGAGACCAGGGGTAGAAAGAGTTGAGACATCATCATAGCATATCTGGCAAGACATGGTATCAGCTAAGATTAGAGTCATGGCTATGGAGGTGAAGCCCAGTGGAAGGCCTTGAGATGACAGGTCAAGCTCAAGGACTGAAAAGGGATGGAGGTGGGAACAATGAGGGAGAGGAAAGCCTCTTGTGGTTTTGGACTAAGCAAATGAGTAGGCTACTTTACTGAGATGAGTAAGACTTATAAAGGAAGGTAGGAAGTATACAGTATCTTTGGGGGAGGCAAGGGGAAGTTGTGCTTTATATAAGGTATGTTTGAGATCCCTTATACATCTTTAAGTGGAGATAGCAAATGGTGGCTGTGTGTATACGTGTGTATGTGTTTGTTTTTAGATTCTGTACTGTAAACTGGGAAGGCATCAGCAGACAGTACATAAAGCTATGACAGGGTATAAGATGAGTCTACAACAACTGGCATTTATTCATTTTTTGAAATAAAGTCTTGCTTTGTCACCCAAGCTGAAGTGTAGTGGTGCTATCATAGCTCACTGCAGCCTTCAACTTCTGGGCACACGTGATCCTCCTATCTCAGCTTCCCAAGTAGCTGGGACTACAGGTGCATGCCACCACAATTGGCTAATTTTTATTTATTTTGTAGAGATGGGAGTCTCGCTGTGTTGCCCAGGGTGGTCTTGAACTCCTGGGCTCAAGTGATCCTCTCACCTCAGCCTCCCAAAGTGCTCAGATTACAGGCATGAGTCAATGTGCCTGGCCAAGAATTGACATTTAAAGGTAGAATGAGGAAGAAATCAGCAAAAGAGACCGACATGGAATAGTCAGAAAGGTAGAATAAAAACCAGGGGAGCATAATATCATGAAAACTAATAGATCAAAGTATGTCAAATAAAGAGTGGTCCCTGTTTTACATATTATTACTGCAAGGTCAAGAAGAAAGAGAAGTTACCACTGAATTTGGTAACATGGAGGTTGTGGTGACCTTGACATGCAGTGACAACAGAATGGTAAGGATCAAATCTAGATTCAGAGTGGCTGCAGGCCAGGCGTGGTACCTCATGCCTGTATTCCTAGCATTTAGAGAGGCTGAAGCAGGGGGATTACTTGAACCCAGGAGGTCAAGACCAACCTGGGCAACATAGTGAGGTGGTCTCTACAAAAAAATGTTTAAAAAGTATCTGGGCGTGGTGGTGTTCCAGCTATTCAGGAGACTGAGGTTTGGAGGAGCACTTGAGCCTGGGAGGTCAAGGCTGCAGTGAGCCATGATTATGCCACTACACTTCAGTCTAGGCAACGGAGCGAGATCCTGTCTCAAAGAAAAAAAAAAAAAGAGTCATTTCAAATGTGAATGGAAGCTGAGGAAGTGAAGAATATACTGTTTTCTTTTAAAAACTTCTGCTGTGAAGGGAAGCAAACAAATGAGGAGATAAATATGAGACAAGGAGAAGTTTCATTACTTTCTTCTTCTCTAAGGTTAAGAGATATGAAAGCACATCTTTATGATGACTGAAATGATCCAGTGGAGAAGGGGATATATGGAAGAGAGAACAATCTTCCAGGAATAAAGTTGTAGAGGAGGTGAGAAGGGAGCGGCTGGGGGTGGTGCTTGCCTTTAGCAGGAACAGGGGCCATTCTGCCACTGTAACAAGAGGGAAGATGAAAAACCTAAGTATAGAGGTGGATTTGTAGATCTCTGTTACGAAGGTGACAATTCTCACTCAATTCCTAAGAAGCCAATTCTAATTTAATTGAATTATCTTCTGAAATTTGATGAACATATGTTGACACTATAATAAATAGGCTAAAAATGTTCATTAAAAACAAAACAACCAGAAATTTAATTCCATTAAAAGCTTTCGGCCAGGTGTGGTGGCTCATGCCTGTAATCCCAGCAAATTGGGAGGCCAAGGCCAGAGGATTGCTTGAGACCAGGAGTTCAAGACCAGCCTGGGCAACATGGCAAGATCCTGTCTCTGGCAAAAAAAAAAAAAGAAAAAAGAAAAAATTAGCCAAGTGTGGCAGTGCATGCCCATAGTCCCACCTACTCAGGAGGCTGAGATAGGAAGATTGTTTGAACCTGGGAGGTGAAGGCTGAGTTTGTGTGAGCCTGGGAGGTGAAAGCTGCAGTGAGCTGTGATCACACCACTGCACCCCAGGTTGGGCAAGAGCGAAACTCTGTCCCCCCCAACCTACCCCGGCCAAAGATGAAAACTTTAAATTTGACATCAATGTAGCTAATGTTCTGAAACGAATATTAATGCAGCTAAATAAAAAAGAACATTTAACTATATACTAATACAACTTAAAAACAAGTCATTAAAAAAAATCTATAAAATTAGGGAACAAAAAGGCTGTTAAAAATTACCTAAACGTTAACTATTGCTAGGCTAGGCAAGAAAACGTTCTTATAAAATTTTTACATTTTAAGCTTCTCCATCACTGCTAAATTGATTTGATAAGCACTGAAGCATGGGTGTACAATGAGGTTGAGAATGAGTGACACAAGCAATTAGTAGATAGCAGAAAATACAAACGTTGACATTCTAAATGCTAAGAATATATTTGCATAGCAACTAACAATGTTTTTAATAAATACTCAAAAACCACTGAGCTGCAGTAATAGGATTTTTTCCCAACTGCTTTTGTAATTATCTCGTCGAGTATTCGCTTCCTACTATTTCTGTTTTTCAGCAAAAACTTTGTAAAAGGAGGAGGAAGATTCAAATGCCTTTAAAGGAACTGTTTCCCCCTACTAATTGACTGAACAAGGAAAATACAAAATTAGAAAAGATTACATTCTGGGGGGAAAAAAAAAGTAATCTACCACGCCTAGCACAGTGGCTCACGCCTGTAATCCCAGCACTTTAGGAGGCTGAGGTGGGTGGGTCACTTGAGGCCAGGAGTTCAAGACACCTGACCAACATGGCGAAACCCTGTCTACTAAAAATATAAAAATTAGCCAGGTGTGGTGGCACATGCCTGTAATCCCAGCTCTCGGGAGGCTGAGGCACGAGAATTGCTTGACCCCAGGAGACAGGGGCTCCAGTGAGCTGAGACTGCACCACTGTACTCCAGCCTGGCGACAGAGCAAGACACTGTCTCAAAAAAAAAAAAAAAAAAAAAAAAATATATACACACACACACACACACACACACACACACACACACACAAACCTCCCATGAAGGTAAAGAAAATATACCTAATCTTTATAGAGGCAGTTCTCAAATATACCATATATGTACTTATTATCTATGTGTATATATACATATATATTACACGTGTCTTAATCACATGGAGGAAAAAAAATAAGGAATCAATAGGGAGTGAAGCAAAAACTCTTCCACTGACTTCTCCTGTCAATGGAAAAGTGACATTAATTCCATTTTCAATTACCCGCCCACCTCCTCCCACCCCCAATATCCCTCCCCTAATCATTATGTTCTCACTTTCTTATCTGACCTTCCGGTCTAAGTGCCAACTCAAATGTTTTCACTGGTATAGCGAAGCAATGGCCACTGGGAAGAATTTCAATGTTCTGTACGCCTGACACTCACCACTGCTTTTTTTCTTTCTCTGCCCCATTTCCCTGGCAGTGGCTACTGGAAAAAGGGATAAATAAACTAGCTCATCATTACTTTTTTCGTAAGTAATGACACACATTACTGTATACACAATGATACACAATGGTACAGCAAGACACAAAGATATCCTAAAGCAAACCTTCTCCATATCTGTTATATTTTGGCTAGCAGGACCATATTTGAACACCTTCTTTACAATCTTAGACAAAAAGAGAATCAGATTGAAAATTTGAGCAGCAAAATGTTTATGATCTTACTTGTCTGGGAGTGAACAGTCTTCTCTACTTAGCCAACAAGTAGGTAAAAACGATTCTCCAAAAAGCACTTAAATACTCCCTATGTCCTAAATAAAGGTAGTTCTTATAAAACCCCACTGGATATAGCAAAACAAAAGGCTAAGGTAAAAGCTAAGATAGCATTGATTAAAACTTTTGGATGAGTCCACTTCAACTACCACTTTTATATCTTTAGCTTAGTTGCACTATCTTTGACTCACTTAGTTGAACATTCAAATAGACCAGTAATGCAAAAGGCTAAAACTATGTCTTCTGCATCCTGTCGTGCTACCTGCTTTACGAATGAAATAGGCAGGAACAGGCTTCAATCACCTATATGCTTGAAGCTTTCTTAACTGGCTAAATGCAATAGCTGTGCTCTGAAGCACCAAAGAAGGACGTTTTAAACAATTCATGCATAACTGAGCTATCAGTAATTCATTTAAATAAAATAATTGATCTAAATTACTTATTCATGGCTTAACTAAACTAAGAAATTCGGCCTCAGTAATGAAAATACCTGAGCAGGTTCTGGCCGGGCGCGGTGGCTCAAGCCTGTAATCCCAGCACTTTGGGAGGCTGAGACGGGCGGATCACGAGGTCAGGAGATCGAGACCATCCTGGTTAATACGGTGAAACCCTGTCTCTACTAAAAAGTACAAAAAACTAGCCGGGTGAGGTGGCGGGCGCCTGTAGTCCCAGCTACTTGGGAGGCTGAGGCAGGAGAATGGCGTGAACCCGGGAGGCGGAGCTTGCAGTGAGCTGAGATCTGGCCACTGCACTCCAGCCTGGGCGACAGAGCGAGACTCCGTCTCAAAAAATAAAAACAAAAAAACAAAAAACAAAAAACAAAAAAAAAAAGAAAATACCTGAGCAGGTTCTTCTGTTTGTTGTGATGTAAGTTTTCTTTTCAATGCATATAGCTGCCATGTGAGATAGTAACATTCTTTTCTCAGCTGTAGGATGATATCTTGGGCTTCTCTCACTTTGGATTTTTCATTTTCCAAAGCTAAAACTAACATTTTGTTGTTGTCTTGGTAATTTTTCAGCAGTGTAGAAGTGTTGGCTAAAAGAGGATAAAAAAATTTATCAGTTATTAAATCTAAACTTAAAAGTGATATAAAAGGACAACATAAAAATCTCTTACTGATTATTTGGCATGGTGCAGCTATAAAAGACCTGCGTTTGCCAATCTCTGCCAAGTTTTTATTCCTTTTCTCTTTCATTCGTTTCTTTATGTCTTCAAGACTATCTTGAAAGGACTTCTTCAGGCATCTTTCCTTGGCCATCTTTTGCCTAAACAATAAAAAATAATTTTTCTCAGAGAGAATATTATCAAATATAAAACTTTAAAAAACATAGGCTGTTCATAAAGAATGCATTAAATAGACTAAACTGTAGAATTAGCTCAAAGTAGATAGTTAACTAACTTGATAACATAAATTTTCCCCTTTTAAAATCTCATTCATATTTTTGATGTTCTCTCTTCCTCCTCAGGCACTTTACAGAAAAGTTTTATTGAATATAGATTTCCAACCCAAAGATTCCACAATATGCCACTTATTCATTCTTTAACAAATACTCACTGTGGCATATATGCCAGACACTACTGAAAATGCTTATTATTATATCTTGATGCCATTATTATTTATGCTTCTTAAAGAAAATGTTTAGGACCAACTTTTAGTGCTTAGGCTTACAGCATTAGTTCTGAGGCAATTATATATCTGGGTTTTGTTTTCCAGCTCTTCTTTAATGATTAATTCATCACATTAGGTCATTCAACTATTTTTCCATAATTAGATAATTTTAACCTAATTATCGCTTATGATATACACACACTCTCAAGAAAGTCAAGGTGATCCTTAGAGGTTTAAACTATGTAGCACTACATACAATTTTATTAGGCTATTGTAACAATTACAGAGCTAGAGCAGGAACTTGGGCAGAAGAACACTCCAGTATTCCCAAAGTATGGCTAAAACTTAGGGCTGTTAACTCCCAGTGAATTATGAACATAACAAATCAGACATAAAATATTGTTGTACATACAGTTAAACGCTGAGTATTAAATACATAAGTATACTTAATCTTTCAATGTTGTAAGTCAGGTAGGTTTTAGCATGCTACTAAACATGTCAAACCACTTTTCAGAAACATCTTTTACTCTAGATTGCACTTTGAATATCTTAAAATTGAAAAAAAACTTGTTTCCAATAATAATGTATGCATACAATTTTCACCACAAAGGATATCGTTACCTTCTCTAAGATAGTCAAACATTTTCCTAAACCTTACACTTTCTTGAGTATGTTCTCCAGGCCTTATTTTCCTCTATGCAGTGTCTGGAATCTTAAATATAGATATTGTAGATTAAGAACTTTCTACCAAGGTATATACAATATATACTGGGAGGTTCCTAGCAGAGATAGGATAGCTAATTTTAAAAGCACTAATGGTAAAGGGGTTGTTTTACACAATTAAGTTAGAATTGGAGATGTTTGAGAGTCATACAGATTAAGTTACTGATCTAGTTTAGTAAAGGTATTTTAAAGTTTTCGTTATTACTTTTAATCAAGCTAAAATCACAAAAGAAACTTTCCATATCAAAAGTTTTATATCCTGTCTAAATTAGGCGATGGTGTTAGTAGGGGGTGTGGTAGACAGAAGGAATGAAAGCAAAGACAGGCTACAGCGCGAGATGACGGTCTCAATCTGTAGAGTACTCGCGTGGCGCTCTGGATTCAAAAGAACCTAGCATATTTGATCTCCGTTCATAATTATCCAATCAGTTCTGCTGCGAAGACAGCCAGGTAGGACACTAGTCAGTGCCGGCCTCTTCAGGGTAAGTGAGGAAGAGAATGGCCTGGACAAGGAGGACGTCAACGGTATCACGCTGCTCAAAGAACTGCTATCAATTTTCTTGCGTTGAGCCAGGCTTTTAACTACCGTAAAAAGCTTTATTTGCATATCACTTAATCTACACAATTTTGCAAAGCAGGATATTAGGGTCTCCATTTATTTAACATAAGAGGAAGACAGAACATCTGAACGGGCAGATCGAGTGGCTGAACCGCGAAAAGCGCGCGGCCAATGGGACTCCAGAGCCCGAGTTTTCGGCCACCGAATTTAGAACGGTACTGAGAACCCAAGGGAAGTCAAACACGGATCACTACGCCCTTGTTTCCCACCTTAAAACCTACTTCCTCCTCCTTCAGGAGGCGGAAAGCCGAAGGGAGGTGGGGCTGGTCCAGAACCATACCTTGGCCACTACTTCTGCAAGAGCTATCTTCCTCCTTCTCACATTTCAAGGCTCTTCGAGGCTCTCCCGCGCTAGCCACGCGCAATGAGCCCTCCAGGACCGTACCCCGTCGCCTGGAACTACCGTCGCCACATTCGAAATTTTCCGCCTCGTTCCTCCATTGGTTGGCTGGGAGGCGGTCACGTGCACCCAACACCAACCGGCGCTGGCAGAGTCCCGCCCCGCCAGGCAACGTCACGCGGCGCAAACTCGCTCACGTCCACATCCGGGCATCCATCGGGCCTGGGGGCGGAGCCGGTGGTCGGGTCGCGGCGACCCGCCGGGACCTTTTCCTCAGAGACGTGAGGATTTGACGGGTGGAGTCACTCCGACACCTTTAAGACGGGGTGTGATCGGTAGTCCAGAGCTTCCTGTTTCTTCAGTCTGACAGCTTCCAGTGTCCCAGGTTGTGCTCAAAGCCTTCCTCCTGTGAGAAGAATCTCTGGTTGCCTGTTAAAGCGGTCAGCCAGCTTGCAACACGGAAGCAGCTTTTAGGGGAATTAAAACCAAAGCAAGGAGCAAATTCTGGATTAAAGAGGTATTAGGGAAACTGCAGATACCTGAAAATTGGAGCTCCATGTTTCTCTTTGCCGGCTACCTCTGGCTCTTTAACTCTTCTCGAGAAATGGCACCAACATTCATCCAGTTACCGACTAGAAACCTGATAAATCATCCTTAATGATTCTTTATCCTCTCTTAACCTTTGCCCATCCTGTCAGTCACACGGTCTTCTCAACTCTACTTTCCAAGTTTCTCTCATGCCCACTTTTTTCCCCCCAATCCAGCTTCCAGCCTAATGTTATTCCCAAAATGGCACTAGTACCCACTCTGACCGCAGACTCCCTATATTCTTCATAGAGTAATATTTTTACAAAACAAGTATCAAATAGGAAACTTGACAGTGGCTCCCTATTGCATTTAAGGTGAAGTTCAAACTCCTTTAAGATATTTTGTCCTTAAAGAGCCCCACGATTCCTGGTTCCACCACTTGTACATTTTCTTAAAATTCTTGCCACTTTTGCCAGTACTGTTCTGTCAAGAACAGTCTTTCCCTTGGCCTGACTTTCTCATATGTATACTGAAGTTTCACTGTACAGATGAATTCTTCCAGAAAGACTTATCTGACCCTAAAGCCCCTTCGTATCTGTTTTACACTTTCTTAGTGCCCTGCATTTTTGGAGTATTCCTTGTGACACTGACTTGTCGTTCATTGCCTGTTTCTTGAAGTTGAATAAGGGCAGGAACTACATCTGCTTTATCGATAGCTAAATTGTCAGCATCTCGTTGCAATTTGAAGTAGGCAGTAAATATTCACTGGGACAATCAAATGAAAACGTAACAAATGCTTTGAATCTAGGCATTCTTTATGAAGGTGTGTGGTTGTTTTTTAAAGGTAGCTAACACGTGCTTGCTCTAATCTAGGGACCGGTCCTAGCTTGAGTGGAAGAGGCTGAAACACCCTTCTCCAGCCAACAACTCCCTTGTTTTCCAAGTTAACCAGACCAACTCCATTAATCCTCAGTTTACTGCCACTGGGCAATGTGGCTTATATGTGCAGAAGCATCAAGAAGGAATGGGCAGAGAGCTTTTTTGTTGTTTGAGGTCAGAAGAGTATGAAGTGGAAAGTGAGAGCAGAGAGTAGGGCCAGCTTCATCAGCAGGCAACCGGTGCTTAGAAGGGCTGTGCATTTGGTTTAATGCTCTGCTGTGGCCATCTTGAAATGCTTAGTAGTTTATATTTGAACTTATGTTTTGTAAGTTATGTCTGATGAGGCAATGGAGCAATCTTGTGAGCAGATGTGATTCATGCAATGCGTGTCTGTCAATGTTTTTTGGTCCCATGTCATACAGTGTTCAGGATGCTCACTAAATGGCTTCCATGAACCACTTATTTTGTAGTTAGGAACCTAAATACAAAGTGCTCAGAAGGACTCACCCTTGCCGTCTTGAAATTATTATTATTTTCCTTGAGACGGAGTTTTGCTCTGTCTCCCAGATTGGAGTGCAGTGACACGATCTCTGCTCACTGCAGTCTCCACCTCCCAGGTTCAAGCAGTTCTCCTGCCCCAGCCTCCCAGGTAGCTGAGATTACAGGTACCCACCACCACGCCCCACTAATTTTTGTATTTTTTTGTAGAGACAGGGTTTTGCCATGTTGCGTAGACTGGTCTCAAACTCCTGAGCTCTAGTGATTCGCCTGCCTCAGCCTCCCAAAGTGGGATTACTGGCTAAGCCACCATGCCCAACCAACCTTATTATATTTGCTAACCACTTACACTAAAAGTGATGGCGTGAAAGGAAAAGGAAAGGTAAGACATTCCACTATTCCTTTTCTTTTCAGTCTTTCTCTACTTATCGGTAAACTGAAGGTTTTTGTCTTGCTTTTTTAGCAAGGAGCGTCATATTTTCATTTCACATCGGCCCACAGAGATTATATAGTTGGCCCTGACCGAAGGCTTGGAGGTTCTGACTTTTTGAGGGGTGTCTTCCCCGTTCCCGATTTAAAAATGGATCAGACTTCAAATCAAGTGTTTATTATAGAGCCTTAAAGAATAGAAATGGCTGAATTTAGGGGCAGTGAGGGAAAATACCACCGGAGTCCTAGCATGAATAACTTTCGTACATCAAAATGTTCTACTGCCGCTGATTTTAGGGAACTAAATTCCTGTTGGAATCAACAGCTCTTTTAAAATATTGTGGAAACTACAGCTGTTCCCAAGAAGAGTGCATATATTCCTTTTTGAACAAAAATGGGCATATTTCAAAGAGTACTAAATGGTGGACTGGAGTTTGAACTCAGGAAGCCTGGCTCCAAAGTCCATGCTATTAACAACTAGACTATGTTCTGCGACTTCTCCCTTTTATTATATCACAGTGGTACCCAGCCTAATTCAGAGATAATCCATAGTTTAATTATATCAGCAAAGTACAGTGTAGGAACATGTCATCTAGCTGACAAACTGAGAAGAACCTATGAAAGGGTACCCAGTTAGTCAAAATTCTTTGTTTAATTTAGTAGATGTTTAGAATAGTTATGGCGTAATTCAAATAATTTTAACTTCTTAAAAATCTTGCTCTCAAATGACAGTGAATATTTGTAGCTGCATTACTATCAGGGTTTTTCAACATGTGAATGCATGTTATTTCTACCTTCGTTAATTTTAACTTTATGATATATATAAAATATAACGAGCACTCACATTCTCCCCTGCAAGTTCCTAAAATCCCAATAAAACTGGTTGTTACTAATCTTTAACTGCCTTGTTCCTAACATTTATTACTATGTGCAGATTTTATGATTTTTACTCGAAGTCCTGACCTCAGGTGATCCACCCGCCTCAGCCTTCCAGAGTACTGGGATTACAGGCATGAGCCACCACACCCGACCTTTTTTTTTTGTTGTTTTGTTTTTTTTTAGAGTCAAAGTCTCCCTCTGTTGCTCAAACTCCTGGCTTCAAGGTATCCTCCCACCTCAGCCTCCTACGTAGCTGGGATTATAGGCTCAAACCACATGCCTGGTTCTTTCACTTTCTTAATGGCGTACTTTGAAGCACAAAATTTTAAATTTCCATAACTTTATTGAAAATTTAATTCTCAATTATTATTGATTTATTTATTTGCTGTTCCTTGTGGTTTTGATGTAATCTCTCAGAAGTCATTGACTAATACAAAGTTACAAAGATTTATATCTATATTTTCTTTTAACAGTTTTGTAGTTTTACTTCTTACATTTAGGCCCTTGTGGTTTATCTCCACTGTGGTAGTGGATATATAAGCCTACACAGGCAATAATATAACTTACACACACACACACATACACACATACACACAACACACAAAACAGATGGATGCTGGTCAAACTGAGGAAATCTAAGATTTCAATGTCAATATCCTGGCTATTATATGATAGTTTTGCAAAATGCTACCAATAGGGTAAACTGGGCAAAGTGTGAGGGGGATTTCTTAGTATTATTTTTTACAGTTACATGAGAATCTAAAATTAGTTCCATAAAAATTTTAATTAAGAATAATAGTCTGTGGAAATTGCTACTTTTCCTTTTCTTTATGTTATACAAATTGTGGGTAGTCACCTTTTGAATTTTTTTTTTTTCATCTGAAAGAAGGGGAACACTGGAGTAATTATTGCCAGGCAAATTAAGAGCATTGTGTGGGTATAGATAATTCTTGTCTTTAAAAATAAACAACAAGCATATAATAGTTTTGGTGTTAATTCTAGATATACACCTAGCACTGTTTTAACGTATAGTACTGATTTTGATTTCTACCAGTTGCTTTATCACAATGGCATACGTAAGTGCAAATTTGGTAGGGAGGAATAATTTTAGGTGGACCAATAACTTATACAAGTAATCATATGTTGTAGTATATTATGCTTAACGTAAAATAAGAAGTAAATAAAGACACAGATGATCTAATTACTTCTTTAAATTTATGAGTTTTCTGGTATATAAACACATATAGAAGGGTATACCATAATCCTCTACGTAGATAACTTTTGCTGACATTATTAAAAATTAGGTAATCATTTATTTACCTATTAGCATATAATAAACATACATAGATCTAGCAAGAAAAATTGTGAAAAATTTTAAAGTAGTTAAAAAATATTACTATGTATCATCTTGAGTGTGCTCTTCCAGCTTATCTCAGCCTTTCATTGTTTTGGAGCTATTTTACAACTTTATATATTGTAGAAAATTGGTAATAATGCAAATGATTTTTTTGTCCATAGAAATGCAGATGATTGTGTCCACTAGAATTCAATTAATTATTTTCCTGAGGATAGATCTATTTTTCAGCTATTTACAAATTCATTTTAGCATTCCTGATTTTCCATATTCACATGATTCTTAGAATTCTCCTTTGAACTGGTTGTAACATCTTACTGATTTTCTCAATAACTGATGAGTTAAATCAAATTCTGACATCAATTCATTTTAATTTGTATGAGTCATGATTTTACCTCTAAAAAAATCCTTTAATAGATGGCTACAACATTCAAACAGTACAAAATAGAATAAAATGAAAAGTGAAAATCTTCTTCCCAGCTAGTGTCATCTTCATGAGCCTTACAGTCCCATGGTGAAGACAGATGTTTATCCGAGAATGTAAGATAAATA